GGTCTCAGCGCCGTGTCCCCGTGGTCCTGGCTCAGCGCCTCCTCCTGTCTTGCAGGCTTTGGGAACCATCACTGCAGTGCCTGTCACGGGTCCTCAGGTCAGCTCCTTGCAGAGGTTGGCCGGACAAGGAGTGGCCGTGCTACCTCAGGTAAGCAGCTCGCAGGTGGGCCCCGGAGAGTCTGTCTGTCTGTCCCCAGCCCCTCTGGCGCCGAGGATGTGCTCCCGTCCCTTCCCTCCCCTGCCTCTCCTGCCTGTGAGAGGAGGAGACGGACGTTCCGAGTAGACCCAGTGTCGACAGTGAGGAATTGCAGAATCCTTTTAGTGGGTCGTGACCAGGACTTTTTCTGTTTTCACGGAATCAACGAGGCTGGACTAGAATAGGACAGAACGTAGCAAGATGCACCAAAGGCATTGTTTCTCGAATCCCTTGTGTCCGGACCGGGTCGCGAGGTCACAGGCGTTTCGGTCACAGTTAAAGCAGCACGAGAAACTCTGCCCAAGATGATTCATTCGGGGAGGCAGCGAGGTGCTCGGCTAGTCCGTGCCTGGGCTCCGCACTTTGGACAAGTCGCCTGGCCTCTCGACCCTCCTGGACCGAATCTCCTGTGCTGCAAAGGGGCTGGTGCAGGTGGCTCCTTGGTGGCCGGGGGGATGAATCGGACGGCACAGAGGCGTCCTGGTACGGAGCAGGTGCAGGCTAGCGGTTCACCGGTGCTCGGCTGTGTTGAGCGAGTGTTGTGTGCCCGGTGGCCCGCCAGGGCTGCTGGCCCCAGAGGGGAGGACGGCTCCCGCAAGTCATGAGCTCTGGGGTCCCCCGCATCCGTGTTCTCGGGCTTGGAGGCCCAGCCCCTGCAGCCTGGGCACGGCTCGCCCCCCGTCTGGAGTTGGGATTATGTGGTGTGAGTTGGCCAGTGTGGACCAAACCCGGAGTGACCTGGGAGGAACCGGCGGCCCAGAACGGCCTCACTTGACCTGAACGGACATCGCAGCTGGGAGGTCCCCCGCCCCCCGCCCCAACCGCCGCCCACCCGGTCCACCCCCCACCCCAAGAGGACGGCGGGTCCCCAGGCTGGCCCAAGGCGGGCGAGGACCAGAAGAAGGAAACTTCCCGAGGTTCTCACGTTCAGAATCGGTGTTTGTGCCGGGCTCTGATCCTGACCCCGTGTGCCAAGGACGCAGCAGGACAGGATCACACGCCTGGGGGAGTGCCCCGATGGCAGGAGGGCCCAGCTGGCGGGGGAAGGGCAGGGCACTAGAAGGGAGGCCAGCTCCCTGGCGGGCCCTGGCGAGGAGCAGGTGGACGAGA